AGGCTTTAGGTTTCCTAGGGAAAAGGATTATTGCTCAAAGAAAATGGAGAAGACCCTACAAGACTAAAAGAAAATACCAAACGCACTGCCATCGAGTCAGTCTGACGAAGCAGCCCTGTGTAACTGACTCGCCAGTCAGTGTGACTGGCCCGCAGGGCTTCCCAGGCTGTGGTCCGTATGGATGAAGAGTGCCATTGCTTCCGGCCACTGACAGGCTTGTGCTTGCCGACCCCAGCCTTTCAGTTCACAGTCAGGCACTGAACCCCAGCAACACCTGAGCTCCTGAGAAAAAGGAAATGTTTTCTGGATTTCTAAAACGTAGAAAAGCGAACTCACAAGTGTGTGCGGTTGTAGTGAGATTTTAGAATGATCGGCGATGCTCTGAATAACAGTGACTATTTTTGTGGTTAGGTACCATCAGCTCCGTTCCAAGTCACAGCAATTGTACGTACAACAGAAGGAAACACTGCCCAGGCCTGCACCATTCTCACAATGGCTGTGGTTGTTGAGCCCATTGTTGGCGCCACTGTGTCTTCCTCTTTTTGTTTGCCCCTCTGCTTTACCAAGGATGATGCCCTCCAACAGCCGGTCCCACTGGATAACATGTCCAAAGTCCATAGGACAAAGTCTCCCCACCCTCCCTTTCAGTGAGCTTTCTGGTTGTACTTTGATCCACGATTCAACAGCAGCAGAATTCAGTTGGCCTTCGTGATTCACTGCCCAGCTTCCTAAGAACATAAGACTTATGAGGTGACTGAACATAACATGGCTTGGGTCAGGCACACCTTAGTCTTCTAGGTGATATCTTTAGTTTCAACACCTTAAAGAGATCTTTGGTTAGAGACTAGCCCGACGCAGGGCATCGTTCGGTTTCTTTGTGTGCTTTAAACCGTTCTATTGGCATATGATTCACTTACAATACAGTTCAATCGTTCAGTCCCATCAGGAAGAGTGTCGAAATCATCACCACTGTCAATGGTAGAGCATTTTCTTCAGTCTTGTACGCATTGTATTAGGTCCCCATTTCTACCGCGCGCCCCCCCGCCCCCACCATACTCCCAAAGAACCGTTAATCCAGCTACTGTCTCTAGATATGGACCTGTCCTGGGTTCCATATACAGAAAAGCATTAAAACAGCAGCAACAACAAACCAACAAGAATAGCAAAGTAAAACTTCATTCAAAAAGGAAGCAGAAAATATTAAAAACTAGAACAAAGTTTAAATGGATCAGAAGGGAGATCAAATGTTAACCTAACGGCACCTTCCATAATCCACTTTCTGGGGCATTCTGCAGGATAGCGAAACGATTCCCATCTCTGGTCTGTGTTCAGAGTGGACCCACCAGAGGTGTAATCGACATGTACATTCCCTTCACTCTTACCTTTCTTTTTCTTTGCCGCTATGGGTAGTGCTTGTGGTTACGAGTAAAATGACATTCCTGACAATTTTCATATTTTTCAACAATCATGTTTATTCGGTCGATTGTGAGGATTTTGTTTTCTTTATGTTGACGTGTAACCACACTGAAGGCCGTCTTCTCTTAGTTTCATCTTAAGTGCATCCGGTCCTCTCACTGGCAGCAGCACCAAGGCTGGGCATCTGCCCATCACAGGTTACTCCGGAGTCTTCCTCCGTTCACATGCTGCGTTCTTCTGTCTATGGTTCAGCTTCATAGATTATTTTCTCAGCAAAGAAAATTAATAAATACGGTGAAAAGATACAACCCTGACACATACAGTATCATCCCTGATTTTAAACCAACTTGTTCTGGTCAACCATTTACATACCTCTTGGTCTATGTAGAGGTTCCCCATGAGTACAATGAACTACTCTATATTTCTCATTCCATGCAATGTCACCCACAATTTGTTAAAATCCCATGTTTGGATTCCTTTTGCATAGTCCATAAAACATAGGTAAACATCTTCCTGTTCTTCTCTGCTTTTACACAAAAACCATTGGACATCAACAAGGTCCAATAGCCCTGGTTCCACCTTCTCTTCTAAATGACTTGCCCCTGTGGCGGTTCCTCTCCATGTCCTGTGGCCACCCTCGTACTCGCGATAATATCGTGACTGTCCTGATTCGTTGAGCATCTGGTGCCAAATAACGACAGGAAAAGAACCACATATCACCTGCAGACTGAGGAGGTTACCTTATAGGAAGAGAACTTGAAATTCTTATCATGGGAGATAGTTATGCTTGCCCGTTGCTTCTGTATTATCTTCATTGTCCAAGGGGGTTGCTATGAAAGCGTTCTTGAAAAGCTAGTCTGGAATGAAGTCAGTTAGTACTTCATTTGTAAAACCCTCATCCATCAGAGAGATCCATGGAAAGTTGTCTTGCAGTGATATTAAAAGTAACAATATCTACTATCATTTATTGAGTGTTAAATGAAGGAGAGGTCCGAGATGGAAACTGACTTCTAGATTACAAAATATATAGATCATGCAGAAAGGTGAAACTACAATAAGTTCCTGGGGGCCGTGAAAGGGTGATGGAATTTGCTGCGTTCCTTCACTAACCGTGTGCGTGAAATGGAGAGACGGGCTGAACAATGTCCATTGTAATGGGCTTATATGTAGTTGAATGAAATAACTCAGAAGTATTGCTGTTTCAAAATAGAGAGAGGTTTTAGGTGATGTCCTTGAAAAGCCTCTGCCCTTGCCCTGTTGTCATGTTACAGTGTGCTCAAGGATTGGTACAGGAGCGTGAGTGGGAGGGGCATCCGGTTTGTGCCAGATGAAACAATGGAAGAGATGGCTAAGTTTGGGAGAAAGATAAAGAAAGCAATGGGCTGAAATTAGCCCTGAAACTTGTAAGGTGAAATTACATGGCTCAATCTAAATGTCTCTACTTAGGTTCAAAAGCCATCGTTATAACCACCAAACGATGGAGACCTAGCACAAGAACCTTTCGTGTTAGGACTATGGAAGATAGTTACGTTTTAAAATATTACTTAACCTCTTTAGAACTCATTGCCTTGCTTTTTAAAGGAGATGCTTAAACACATGATCTCCATCTTCGTTTCTCACCTGGGCATGGTACATAAAATTTACTTGTATAAAGAATTACTTGAATAAGACTAATCTAAGGTGACATCTTTATGACGCATTCTCACTCACTCATTGTCATTGTGTCGATTCTTAGTCAGAACAGCCCACCCCACTACATAACCCCCAGCATAACCCACTACAGCACCAGGGCTCCTGACTGAGACATCGATCAAACAAATCAAGAGAAAACACGAGTGCACTGCACTGAGTTGATTCCAACTCATAGTGACCCTAAGGGACAGAGCTGACCTGCTCCTCTGGTTTTCCAAGGTTGCAGCTCTTTCCAGAAGTAGAAAGTCTCGTATTCGTGGAAGGAGAGAGCCCCTGGTGCTTTGAACTGCTGCCCTTGCAATAAGCAGCCTGACTCTTAACCACTCAGAGAATTGTGTCCATCTCGAGGTGTTCCATTTTAAGACTGATGGTGAGCGAAATCCCGATGACAGTGAACCTAGAAACGTGGTATACTAAGAGGTGTGGAAATGACTTTTCTAGTGGAGGATTAAAAATGTTTGGATATATGGCCAGGAATAAAGAGGACATTTTAGAGACATCCTAACAACCTCAAAATAGTTCAAAGATTCCCCTGGCCAAAAGGACAGAAAGCAGGTGCAGGATTTATGAAGAAGAGCTTCATGAAGGCCAATTGTGTCCACACTAAGTAAGAATCTTTTGTGAACACAAGTTAAATAAAGTGACCCCTGATTGGGAGTGGACTACATTTCTGGATTTGACTGCATTTTCCATGTTGTGGAAACATTTGGGCGAAAAGGTGGTACTAGATGGCTCTACAGAGCTCTGCCCTTCACCACCAACTCCTTCCAGCT